GATGTTGTTGTTGTTGCTTATACAAATGGCAAAGGCTTTATTCTGGCTATTCTACAGCTGGCCATTTTGATGCCAATGGTCTGTCACTTGACTTTTACCATGGGATAAGAGGGCTTGGTTAATTAGCCTTTCTGACAATTACCCAACCAGGTCAAGATTCCTCTTCCTTCCAATAAATTTGTTATACAAATATAATAATATTTTAAGACTTTATCAAAGGATGGGTCAAAGTGTGAAAAGACAACTGAGCCATGTGTAAACCACATTTTAGCTTTTGTAGAGATAGACATTAAGAGCGCAATCGGAACAGTAGACTAACAGATCATGCGCTTTAAGTCTCATTGTGATAAATGCCTCGAACACCTCTTGCAAAATTAAAATGCTAAATTTAAATGTTCTGGCATATATCCCGTGACAGTGCATTATCTCACACTTACTATTATTACTATTATTATTATCATCATCAATAATAATAATAATAATATTTTAATGTGTGTTAGGTTAAATAAAAAAAAAGATTGTGGTATGTCTATTCAGATATGATGATTGATCAGAAAAGCACAAAGAAACTGTGAACAGAGATACTGGAAACTGGTGGAAACTGTTAAATTAAGATGTTCTATGATAATCAAAGGGCCAATTGAATTTTATAGAATAAGACAGAAAAGGTGCTTACATGTGTTTTATAGCTTTTTTAAATTGATAGCAAATAAAGATTAAATAAAGATAGTATATTTCTGCTTATGTTGAAGTATGCCAGAAAGTTTAGACACTTAGTTTCAAGTAATTTTTGAAAATCAGGGTATTTCTTGCTTAGAGGCCATTGTATTTGTTACTTTGAAATTTTTGTATCACTTCTGTATGTATGGTAGCCTTGCTGTCTAGCTTGATTTTAAAACTCTTCACACAATCATTTAGAAATAATGTTGACAAAACAATTTTTGATGGGCATGCAATATTTATCATGTTGTTTTGAAAAGCATTTCAGAAGCAAATGCAATTAATTTTATTTTTACTCATACATGGAAAAAATGAATATTTTTCTGTAAGGTATACATCACGTCATGGGATGTACTTCATCTATTTGAGATTTGTCTATGTGCCAATGTATAACACCTTGAAAGTAAGCATGTGAAAAGTATATTGCCTCCAACTTCCTATCCTTCCTATCAACAATTGTATTATTTGAAAGTGAAGTGTTTAATTACCAGGCTCAAGTTTTTAGTGCTGTTCCATATAGTGAGTATCATGACCCAGTGAAATATGTTTTGCTTGAGAAGCCTGTGGGCCAGCTTATTGGTATCATCCAACCAAATCATTGACCACCTATATTAAAAATTGTAGCCAAGGAGCTGTGCATGCATTTATTTATATCACTTTCAGTTTTTTGCTTGATTGGTAGTGTTGAGAGACATTACGTGAACTTTTACCAGGACTATTTTATACCAGCAAGAATATCATAAAAACTTTTTCTTTTACATAGGAGATAAAAAAAAAACTGATATTCAATGGTCAAAACCAAAGTTAAGAAATTTTGTTTTATTAACAGTAGAAATGTGTATGAATTTGAATATCCTGTGTCAAAAACTAATTATTGTGCATGGGAGTGAAAAAAAAGGTCGATTTAAAAAGCCACAAGCAATGGTGTTACATATATCTGCAGCAGTTCTTTATCTAGTGAACATGCTACATTCAATCAATTTATCAGTGGAGTACTGAAATAACAAACTGGTGCTGCTCCAATTGTCTGGTTATGGATTATTCCTTTGGAATGTTTCTTTTCTTTTATTTTAGACATTAGATAATAAATACAAATAGTTGTTTGACAGATCAATTTTATTTTATGTTAATAAAGTTAACATCAGTCTTTGATCAGGAACTGTGTTTTAGTTAAGCATACAGTATTCATCCAGATCATTAAAGATAATAAAGCCCAAACAAATGGTAGTTTTTAAAGGTGGCTCTCCTCTGTTTATCAGTCCTCAAAATGGGCTGTTTGAAGGACGTAGGTGTAGATCTGAATGTCACACATAACAAGTGAAGCCTGTTGGTATTAATCGAAGGATGTTTTTGTTGGCAGACAGGAGGTTTCATACGGGATAGATATTTCTGTGAATTTCCTACTGGATTCTTTTGGCAACAAACAGATATATTGAAAGAAGAATGTAAACTAATGAGAATTCCATGATTGTTTTCCAATTAAACAAAAAATGTGATCAAATATGTAACAGCATATATGGCTAATATTTTGGATGAATTAATCTATATGTTAATCACAACATGGTAATTGTCTGGATACATTTGCTCAGTGCTTTAATTGTGCCAGATAATTAATGCTTTATTCAGCTTTCTAGCTAACTTACTTTTTCAAGGTAAGGTGTGATCTAACTATGAACCCCAAGGTCAATTATTCTAGCCATTTGGATCAATTTTATTATTCATTGTCTTATCTACTTTGGCCAGTTAAAACATGCTGGGTATATTACATGCAACCTTTGAGGGATAATGAATTTATAACAGAATCCTTTTAAATATAATATGATATTGAAGTAACTGAAGGAGCATCACCATTTATCAATTTTAAATCCCCTTATCTTTTTTTTTCATAAAAACTTGATTAGTTTGTTTCAGTTTGCTTCTAGACCTGCATTGTACAGTTTGGAAAAAAAGTTGAAAAACAATCATCATGGAAACTGATCTAGTTGAAGATCGGTCAACATTCAATCTTAAAAGCTGGTTAAAAGTAAATGCCACTCGGTAACATATCTAGCCAAGCGTGGTTTTTCTCCTAAAACAACCACTTCAATTTAATTTGAATCACTGTAAAGAAAGGGATGTCTTCTGCTATCCTGGAAGAAGTGAGCTTGATTGAATCTTTTAGGGTCTTGTTACAATTTAATTAGTGTTACAGACTGAGATAGAAATACAAGTTGGCATGGGGGAATGAGTGATGCTTAATTCTCTTGCACAAAAGATTAAAGAAGCATCTGGCAGATATGCCAGTAGTCTGTATTTTCTGGTTGGTCAAAACCCGCTTGGGATATTGTCATTTTGTAAGAGATAGACATTCTGTATTTTGTGGCCTACAGTGTCTGGTTACAGTGGTATTTGTGGCGAGAAAAGCTTGTGAGGGTCATGTATGATCACAACATACATTGCACTGTCATATTTTGTGATTTTTAGAAAGACTGAATTGCTCTACTATTCCTTTATAATATTGAGTCGAAAAGAGATGCAGATCTCTGTTGGCAGGAGTTCAACCCAATCCCGCATTAATGTTGGGTAGAAATAAAATGTTTCTAAAGCAAAGAAGTCAAAGCAATATAATATTTCTACTTTAAAAATCTTCCAACTTGTTACATTAGATATTTCTGTTTTTATTAGGCTTGTTTCTAAGCCCTGAATATGTGGCATGGCTTAGAAACAAGATCTCTGACCAATCCTACTAAGGCTGTGTTCACAACAGATGATCCTCGGACTAACTAGTCCATAAATCAAATATGTCCGACCCTACTTGAAAGCAATGCCAAATAATCCCTTAATTGTCTCTCTGCCTACTGGCGCCATGCCTGCTGAGGTCTAGCAATTAAAGCTAAATTAAAATGCTTTGAGACACACACAGTAGAGGTGTGTTTTTCAATGAGTCCAAATCATATTAGTGAAGAACCTTTGCAGCATGGTCCAGTTAACAGCTTCCTGCTGAGGCACTCCTCCAGCATTGATTGGCAGTGTATTATTTTTGTATATTGATGGCATGAAGAATATTTTGATGAGAAAATTAACAATAGAAAATCATCAAATATTGTGTGTGTGTGTTTACGAGTGTTGTGTGTTCCCACCTTTGCAGAGAGGTCACAGTTAAAACTTAGATCAACACTAAGCTATTTTGAAGCCCTTCTTGACAGAGACCTTTGTAGGTAGTGCATATTATTTTTCCTTTTTGAAAAATATCACATCAGTGTTTTTCAAACTTAGACTGGGTTCCCATATCTAGATCGATATTACAGGTTCGATCCATCTCTGAGGGTTGTCCTCGTTAAATTGCTTTTAGCTTAAGTGACTTAGATGACTGGCACTCCTGCTGAAGCTGCTAAATGATAAGTAATTACCCCTTAGCAGCTTCAGTAGGCATGACAGACATCTAAGCCCCTTAAGTTAATTGCAATTTTGCGAGAATCACCTTAGAGATAGATTGATCCACAGTTTGGACGACGGGGTCTGGGAATGGTTCCTTGCAGAGTTTTACTCAATAGAACATCATAATTGTTATATAGGACAATTAAGTTAAGAAGAGAAACATAATATTATAAAGTAATAAATGCAGTTATATAAAAGCAATTGATCTGAAGTAAGGTTATGACTTGATCTTTTCTATAGGCGAATATTCATAAAATTTCAGATGCATGATTTATAGTCACAAAAAATATAATTACAAAAAATTTATTTCTATATAGTATTTGTGGTGCTTTTACTGCATAGAATAGAACTATAGAGGAGCCTGCCTTTTCATTTTGTTGCTACCACTCAATAGGAATGCTGTCATTTTAAGAAATGATGACAGTATCTGAAAAATTCATTATTTTCCCCCACATTAAAATGTGATTAATTTTTAAACCAAAGACTAGATGCACAATGACATTCTGGTAATGGGTTTGATAGATGAATAATTCACATTTGCTGCAAATGCAATATTAAGATTCGTTACAGCATATTTTTTGGCAAATGCAATATTAAGATTCTTTACAGCATATTTTTCGTATTGGCTACATACTTTGCATTGTTAATATGCATTTAAAAGTACACTTCAATAAAGTATGTGCTCATAGGTGTGTAAAGAAGCTGTTTGATTTCTTTTATTTTTGTAACTTATGCAATTCATGAACTGTGATTACTTGTGACTTTCCCAATATTAGCTTGGTAAGCACTTTGATTTGTAATCTTATTATTTATTTTTTCAATTTTAGAAAAAAATGGAGACATTATGGACACCGTATTGTTGAAGAGGTTTTTATTCCACAAGTTCTCATAACATAACTTTTTTACAGATGCAGCTGATCAAGAAATGGCCAAAGTAAAACTTTGAATATATGTAATACAGTAATACTACATCAGTAATAAAACATGTAGTAAACCCTTTTCAGCTGTATGACTCAGTTTGGTTTATCTAACAAACATGCTTAAATAGATTTTAAGATAACAGATAAATATGATAATAAGCCCATGCAAGGCTCACTTCAACACAAATTTTTATCCAATTGTTCAAGTGGCACTTTTATTTTTATCTAATATTTTTTTATGACTGACAAAAAAAGTCATTATTACTGGTCAGGAGCCATATAACGTGAAAATTGGATAAACAGGATGTGTTAGAGAAATGAGACACTTTTCATGAAAATATTATCCAAAAGTATACAATTTTCTTGTAGATATCTACATCATAACTTCATATGATCTTTCATCTGCCCTTGTTTTCCTGTGGCAATTTGCACATATTTAACACCAGCATGAACATGTTTTTGTAAGGTTATATCTGAAATCTAACATACGCTGTATACATCCATTTATATCTCAACATTTTTTCATTATCCTTGTATAAATAAAAACCAATCAAACAATCAAGTAACCAACGAAACCAACCAACCACAAAGAAAAACAAACAAACAGCTCTACCTATGACACGTAGCATAATTTATCGTGATTCTTTCAGTTGTTACGGATGTTACATACAAATGTACAGGAAGTTGATTTATTACAAGCTTTTTGAATTGTAGGTTCTATTTGCACACACCTATCATTATACAACATACATTCTGAAGTCTTTGCTTCAGAAAAAAGCCAGAATACAATCTTATATCTTTGCTTCAGAAAAAGCAAGATCACCTGAAATGATTTTAATATAGTATTATTACAGGTAAAAACAGGTGAAAATACATGTCACTACCCTGGCAGGTAGACTGTTTTTCTTCAGGGTCCTGCTGACCTGGGGTTTGTTTCACCAAGCAACATGGTTTCCAGGGACTGTTGTTATGGTATCCTTCTCTAAATTTATCATTTACATTGAAGCTGGAGAACCCTGTAATGAGAAGTCATCCGCCATTGAAGGTTTCTTGAACCAGGTCCTTTATGTAAAAATAGCCTTATACGTGGAAACCTCTTTTTTGTTGTAATTCTACAGAAAGTATCTGTAGTCCCCAGAATTTTGCATTATTTGTCAGTAATCATTAGAGTACTATCTCTTAATAGACTGAATAGATAAAGTTATGACTTGGGTCATAATGGTACAGGAAAAATGAAAGTAAAAATATTTCATTTTAGTTGAATGTTACACCGAATCCTGAACTTGCATTTGAGTATTACTGTCTTTCATCTATTATTGTACAAGCTGGACATGTGCTGCCATGGAAATTGTCACCAATGGCAGGGGCTGATTCTGACAAACAGAAAAACTTCCTTGGTTAACAGTAAACTATCCAAGTTAACAGTTTACTACCCAGGATAACGATTTACTACCCAGTTTAACAGTCATAACTACTTCTTACATCCAGTCAGATGTGAATTTACAGTAAACAGTAAAAACAACTCTGAAAAAAATATGACTGTCTCAGAGATGACCCAGAATAAATTGTGAATCGATCCATAATTTGGAAAAAATTAGGCCCAATACATGAACTTGAATCAATAATTTTCTTATACAGACTGTCATAATTTCAAAAGTTAGCAAACGAATAATTTGCTATTGATCCATGTAAGACAAAAGTGATACCAGAATGAGCCCAGATGTATGGTAAAGTTTTTCTGAATACAGTTGGCATACGGTTGCTTTCATCTTCACTGGAAAAATTTTTCCACCGTTTAGTTTTGACCTTTCTTTTGAAGAAGGTTGCCTAAACAGCAGTAGTCAAGTTTACAATCAGGTGTGCACTTCTGTTTGACATGGTGTTATGGTGTTTTGCACCTTAATTATCATCAGAGCAGATGTCTTGTGTCGGAAAACAAACAGACAAAATGGAGGAGGAGGTGGAAAGGGGATAAGATGAGACCTCATGATTCAATTTTTTGGCAAAAAATGTTTACGGTTACGATAAAGAGAAATAAATGGTTTGCAAGAGGTACCAGCAGTAGCCATTTTATAAACAGGTTTTAATAGATGTCTGTTAAAAAGATGCTTGTCAAAAAAAAAATAAATAAATAAATAAATAAATAAATAAAAAATAATAATAATTAAATAAAATAAATAAAAAAAAAATAAAGTAAAAAGAATGAAAGTTGTAAAAAGTTAAAAATGGAAATAATATGGAGAAAAAGAAAATAGAAAAAGCAAATTTGTAAAAGGAAAATAAATAAAAGCAGGAACGATAAGCTAATACATCAGCTATGATACATATGAATAACTAAATTATTTGTCTGTGGGTTTAGGTTGAAATCAAAGGCAGGTGTAAGTGAAATATACATTTAAAAACGGCTATAAATGAGGTATTTATACAGAAGATTAAAACCATACACATAAAAAAGTAGGACCTTACCTTGATATGGTAAATAAGTGATACTGCAAGCTCATTGTTCCATTGACATTTTTATCAATAAAATTAATATAAATAGACATAAATGTTCTTGTCATCTAAGTTCATTTTTATATTAGGAAGATATATTCTGTATCAGTGATAGAATTTTTCAGTGTTACCCTTGGTGTGAAACCTATCTTTGGATACATTTTCAAGTCTGTCATTGGTGGCTATGAAATCAGCTACTTCAAAAATATGTCTTCATAAATTGGTAGTCTTCTGAGCAAAAAATCCACGTTGGGCACTATAGGCAAACTTGACTTCCAGTGGAGTCATTATCTTTCATGATGGCTACTGTCTCAATTTTTACTTCATGGTTTAGGCTGCCCTTTTCAGCTCCAACAAGTTTTACCTTCAGTCCGTTACATGGTGGAGGTCCTAGGAACTGCTCTTTGGGTGTAGCTTTTTTGCCATTTTGGGGCACATCTAGATAATTTTTGTTTTGGACACTTCTTTGTGGTGTCAGAGTTGTCACATTTGTATTTGATGGATATTTTGACATTTTTGTAGTTTCAAGGTCAGGTGAGACAGAAGCCTCTCGCTCCTCTGGTGGACCAAATGCATTTGATGGAGCATTAGAAGGGGCCTCAGTGGGAAGTGCAATTTCATATGTCGAGCTTCGTCGTGTTCCTGTGATTTTATCAATTATGTAACGCAGCTCTTTTCGGTAGTTTTCATTCAGCCATCCATAAAGAAAAGGGTTAATGCAAGCAGAACTCACAGCAAATGCTTTCAAAATTAAATCATACAATGTGTCGTAGTTATCAGAAGTGTTGTCTGAATAGTATAACCTCAAAATGAGTACAGTTGAGAATAAACTCCATGGCAACCAGCAGATGATGAAGAGAATCACAATGGCTGCCAAAATTTTGGTGGTTCTGGTTTTACGTTCGGAAGGTTTTTTGCGATTCTTTAATCGTAGATAGATCTGCCCATAAAGGACGATAGCAATGACCAAAGGAGCAAGAAACTGAGTGACAAAGGTTACTACAGTGTAGATACTCTTCTGATCTTTATTTGGCCAATTTTCCTCGGCACATAATACCCTCTGAGTCTCCATTAAAGCCTTGAAACTTTTATTTTGATCATCTTCCCATAAATCTGTGTAGATAAACAAGGGTATTGCAATGACAAAGGCAATCATGTTTGACATGCATATCAGTAGCACTGCGGTCCTCTTGGAGATTCTTGGCTTCATCGGATGCAATATCAGACGGTACCGATCAAAAGCAATCATCAGCATTGTTAAGGTGGAAGTATATATTGGAATAGCAAAAGATGCAAATAAGACTTTGCACATCACCCGTCCAAAGGGCCAGTTTTTTACCAGTTGGTAGTACAGCTGGAGTGGAGTATTAAAAGTCAGGAGAGTTATATCAGAAATGGCAAGAGTACAGATGAAAATGTTGGTTACCGTTCTCATGTGGCGACGACGGAAGACTATATACACAATGAAGACATTTTCCAGGACTCCCATAGCTATCAGTATAGAGTAGACAGCCACTATGATCCCTTTGCTCACAGGATAATCCACCAAACTCAACCTTGGAGTGCTGAGGTTGTACAGCATATTCTGTAGCTCCTCTGGGCTGGAATTGCATAAAGAAATATCAGTTTCAGATAGATTGGTGCCAGAACACATATCAGTGAAATCAAGCATTATCCATATATTTTTTCTAAATCCAGTCATTGACTTTGTGTAAAGTTTTACAATCTCATGGTATGCACATCCAAAATGATGTCACTGCAAAGTCCCTTTTTTATAGCTATCGCTTTCCATTTCAGGACAATAGCATTGCTTCCAAGGTATCTGTTTCTGGTATGCTACATTATAGAGCTGCTGACAACCATAAAAACTTCACAGGAAAGTACCTCTTATAGCAGCAGCACTAGTCTGACTTCATTCATAGGTTTGCTATTAAGCTCCATATTTTTCATCATGATCTCCTAGTATCTTTTACTTTTAATCAAATGCAGTTGTTCAAGTTATGCCACACAGCTAAGTAATTTTTGTGTTTTCACATAGTTGAAAGTATGCTGTATCAAACTACTTGGTGGACAGTAATGCCACTTGTTTTCAGTTTCCTAGAATCAACTATTCCTCGAAACTGCATGTATATCAAAATCTGGCACCTGTGAATCATCTCATATTTTCACAATCTTCATTTAGCAAGAAGAAAAACCTTGTGAACTTCAATCCAATCATTTGAAACATAAACACCAATATGTCTCAGCTGGCCTGTTTTTCCTGAACAATTATGAGATTTAAGCATGAAATTTTTTGGGCAGTCCAATGAAATGGATAGCCGTGAGCAATAATGAGCTCCTGCTGTTTTTTTACCCAAGCAGATAAATGTAAGTGTTCCTTGATAGCTACTCAGACACACACTGATGTGAAGTTGAATGCTCTCATTAATATGCAGGCAGTTGTGATCACCTGACTTTCAGCTCTACATTATACGCCTGCAGATTGTCGCTCTGCTGGAGTCTCCTCCTCTATCAATACGTAACGCTTTTCATGAACCCTACATAATAAATCTTTGACATTAGATGCAATTTTTCTTAACCAGACTTAATTAAAAATATTGGACAGATAACTGGCCTCATTTTAAAGGAGGCATTTGAGATTAAAGCTCTTCATCATAACCCCTACTTTTTACAGTCAGTTCAAGTGTTACCCTCTCATGATCCCTAAACTATAAGTTTTGCGCATTTAGTGATAAAAACAAAGGAGAATTGCCTTATGCAATTTTTCATAAAACACTGAATAGAGAAACTAATGGTCTATATTTATAAGGAAGTTTGTGTTGCAAACATTAAAATCATCAGGCAGATTGGAGTGAATCAAATCTTAGGAGAAAAACAATTTTTGTGATGAGATCAACTGTGTTTTCTCTGCAGGCATCTTTCGTGCTGAGTTTGATTTGCAACTTCTTTTCTTTCTCAATAGCCTCTCTGCATGCATGCTAAGAAAATCATTATTAACTCATTCATGAAATGAAGTGTATAGGAAGGCATGCTTCTCAAAGCTTAAATTTGCCAATGCGGCTGTCAATCACCTTGTGATTGACTGATGGTTCAAATGGGTTGATTTAAACATTATAAGTAGACTTTCGCCTGCTACAAATATTGGCTGAATTATTTAAGTGATCCTGAAAATGGTGTAACCAGCATAGAGTGAGATTTAGGTAAATAGCAGTAGCTTGTTTGGTTTCAAAGTTTCCACCTCATTTGCATGTTTTTTATTATAATCAATTTGCATCTCTGTCAGGTATTAGATAACTGCATAATTTTCACCTAAGTTATCCTGTTTGCTACATTGACATATCTTGTTATGAAAAGTTAAATAACTGACTGTTAAATGACCTAACTATACAGTGTACCTATTCCTTTTTAAAATTGACAAGAGACTAAATAGCACGTGCCATACTGTTTTTTTTTATTAATGAGATTCTCTTTCAAAGGACATCAACCTGTGTTTTGGATAAAACATTGAATGAACTCATACATAGTAGAATTTTTGCTTCTGAAGTCATTCAGTGCAGCTGATTAACAATCTTGTTATTGGAATCAAATCAGATTCATATCAATATTTTTGGGTAAAGCATCAGCTTTTACATTAATTGGCAGATATATAAACCAGATGAAATGACTTGGTCAATGATTAGGATACAGAATTGTGCTGTTTTTGCTATCAATCCAGTTAAAAAACCATTGGCAATGATGTTCATGGACATTCCAAGCAATAAACATGAATTCCTTGGAAGTGATCAAGAGATTCAAGGATGCCCTCAGAATACATCACCGTATGTAATTGCATTTGTTTGCAGAAAAGTGGAAGGATATTCTCAAGCGAGTCGTTTAAAAGTTGTTTCTGTTTGTTTAATGCTCTTCCTTGCAGTGATCCATTAGTTGCAATTGTTTTTGTGTGATAGCTCATGCAAAGAAAACAGTGATGAAGAACATTTTAATCAATTTTAATTGATTTACCCATGGCATAACATATGTTTTTATGCATTTGTACGAACTCGTTGCTTCCTATATTTTTTTTAGAGTTGCTTCTTATTATCATACACACACATGCACACACACACACACACACACACACACACACACACACACACACACACTGAGAGAGGGAGAGAGAGAGAGAATTAACTTATTATTGCAGGGATGGAAATATATTAACCTTGTCCAAATGGCTGTAGAAATTAACACTCTGGTTTGTGAATAATGTATTGTTCTTGTACAAAAAGGACGCAAAAAAATTATTGTATTTTTGTATTACGGTACCATTAGGTAATTGGTCTTGATATTTTAGTGTCAAATTTCTGCCACGTTAATAACTTTTTTCATTTTTTTTTGACAAGCAAAAGTACTTGATAGATGATAATCTTAGTGTATCTTAATCTATTAAGAATTATACCACTTTGGTAATCTTATTTACGTGTATCATGTTGAATGCTAAAGATGTGAACAACGATAAATAGTTTCTCTGAAGCATGCAAAAAGACTTCATTATACTACATTATCGGCTCTAATGTGGGACTGATAAGTGTGCTTTTGCTGTTTGATGTAATTGAGTATAAAAATTTATGTTAATTTTATAGCTGTTTTTGATCAATTAGTGTCAATGTTAGATAACTTCACATAAAAGTCAAACTCATTGTTATCTGATATTAAGGCCTACATGAGAGCAATTCATACTGTGGGAGTGAGGGAAAAAGTACTACTTAGAAAATAGTTGTAGAAAATTGGACGCAAACTAGTAACAACTACCATGGCATAAGATACATGCAGATAAGATGGGGTCAGAAACCCAGACTTCGGCAAATCTGCACTGTTAAAAGATCAGTGGCAATGATGAAGATATAGTGATGGCAGACATTTGTAAGTGTACAACTGACAGAACACCAACTAATGGTTGATCATCAGAAGAGTTTTTTTTCCAAGAGCAGTGATTCTCAGTATAGTTTGATCCTCAATACAATGTAGAGATGGTCAGAATGGAGATTCCCGATGTAGAGATCACTGGTATAGAGACATCTAGTGGAGATCACTGGTATAGAGACATCTAGTGGAGAGTTTCATAGTATAGAGTCTTTTCCTAGCAGATAGTTCCCCAGAATAAAGATGGTCCCCATGTGGATCCACACACACACCATGTTCTTTTCCTTTGTCCTATAATTGGTTTTCTTCAACTATTGTTAAGGTTATAATACACATGAAGGCCGGGTTATATATAGAACGTGCCAGATGACTGCAATTTATGACCAATTTCAAGTTATTGTGATAGTTGGGATTGTGTTCTCTTTTTTGGTTTTCTTAAAGAAGAAGGAAAGAAAATAGTGGCATTTCACCCTGTACCAGAAGGACATGCCAGTACAATGTTAAAGTGGAGAATGATATTGCGATTCATGTACTTGTACATGAACATATTATGAGGAAAAAACAGATAAAAAAGAATGTGAAAAAAAAAAACAAAATGATGAAGTGTCTTGGGAACTGAAGCAAAGAGGTTAAGGCACTCAAGTCATGCTTTTAGCAAGATTGAATTGTTGCAGTTCACTGCTGTCAAATATATGAATCTTAAAAGACTATCTCCAGACATGCCACCAGTTGCATTGCAGTTTTAATATTAGAAATTTAAACCATCTCCAAGAATATTACATATCTATCATAACCTGCGTTGGCCTTGTTAGTACATAGCTTAAAGCCAAGATAAAAGAGTCAAACTACATCTAACCAGTCTGTAATAACTGTTGTATGAAGGAAGAACAAGCACATATAAGTCGCTCAATGTCAAGGGTTCGTTTTGCTGCTGGGGCATAAGCTACTGTAAAACACTATTTCCGCAGCTACTTAATTACATGATTTTTCCATTTAGACTAATACACGGGTACCTTCATTGCTCAGTTCGTTCATCAATCAGCTTTGACCTCTGATTGCACTTATTATGCCATATATATATATATATTATATATATATATATATGCTTATCACACCATAAGCCATAATGATAAATACATAAATGAATAAAAGTAAGAAATGAAATATATGAAAGTTTAAAGTAACTCATTTGAGATTGATATTAGAACTTTACACACAATAATTTTATATGGGTAGGATAGCTTGTGGAATATTTAATTCTTCTGTACATGTATTAATTTTTCCTAGTGATAAAAAACAACATTTATTAAACAAAGATAAAAAAGAATAAAATAGAAATTGTTAATATGGTTGAAAAACTGTTAAATATTGGAAACACCATGGCAATGATTAGACCTACATGTATATATCATTTAGTCGTGAATCCTTTACTAAATAATATATACTGTGCTCATATATATTTATTTTTTTATATTTTACCTGGCTGAGGTCTGGGCTCTCAGAGTGTGGTCTAGGTTTAGATATTTGCAGTGTCTGATGCATTACAACTCACCGGTTGCATTCTGTCTGATCTGATCAAGATTACTACCCTCTCAAAACTTTTGATGACAGACAGATATTCTTAATAAACCATATCACCCAGACTAGATTGCAAGAATTTGAAGGGTGTCAAATTTTCAAAGAAACCCAGGTAATCACTGTCAAGAACTAGATGTCTGCTGACATCTGATCTTTTTACAGTTTGCTGGGCATTAAATTCCTTTTTTATATATTTGACACCCATTTCCATCGGACTCTTTGAAATGGCACAAGTATAAAAAGACTGACAAAAGCGAGCACTAATAATAGAATCTCCGACTTTTTCATTTGTCTGAAATCTATTTTACTTTGCCAACAACTGACACCATGTTTGTTCTTAAAGATAACTATGACTTTAGCTGTGATTGACCTCATTGAACAGGTATAATTGTACATTAATACTCTCAAATCTTTTACTTAGTAAGATAGAAACACTGGTATATTCCATGTGTTTTAGCATGCAGAATCATAAATCTGTTTTAAGATCCACTTCGTGATTTTTGTTGAGATTCCAAAATGTGTTAGATAATTACTGGCCACCAGGGACTGGCCATGGGCACTTATTGATTAATTGGCACTTAAACAAGTATGGTTAATGTCTATTTGTAATGCTTATATTTTTTTATGAACAGACCAGACTATATAAGCAATCAAGGTGAAGGTATTATTTTCTGAGAAAAAGATCTACAAATTAGCTAAACATCTCATTTGGGTAATTGCCTGTCTAAAGAGCAGGTGTCTCTGGAAACTAATTTGACTGAAGGGCCATTTACCTATCAAGTTGAATAATCTTTACAGGACAAAGATAATTTTAGGAAAAGTGCAGAATATTTTGAAGGTCTCCAGCTTCACCTTCATAAGTTGCTTCTCTATACTTTGATATTGAAGGCCACCGAAGAGGAACTTTGGTGTTTGTAAATCCATGCAAATTTAAAGTTTTTCCT